TTTCACATTCTGTCTCTCACAGTTGAAGTGTACCTCTGGTGGAAATTACTGACCTCTGTCATCATTTTAAGTGGGGGAACTTGCACAATCGGTGGCTGACTAAATACTTTTTTGCCCCACTGTAACAATCTACCATGCCAACCAAGTCTTAATGGAAGGAGGAAGGACTTGTGGCAGGGCAGTGTTGATGTTTACATCAGCAGCGCTTGGTACTGAAATCTACTGCTGTGCACAAACACCGTTCTCCACTGTCTGAGTTTGTTATCATTAAGTGCCAACCAGTCTACCTAGCAAGGGAATTTACCTCGATTGACCTTATTGCTGTTTGCATCCCTCCCACCACTAACGCCACAGCTAGGACCGTGGAAGATAACTACTGGACGCTGAGTACACCAAGTCAGGCTCTCTGATCACATCACCATCATTCTAAGACCTGCATACAGACCCAGAGTGAGGGCCTTCAGACCAACACAAAATCAGATGTGTGTAGCCAGAGGGGGCCTCCTCTGCTCTGAAGGATTGCTTCAGCACTACAAACTGGTACATCTGACCGGTGATCAGCATCGCGGAGCACGACGTCCGAACGGCATTGAGGAGAGTGAACACAAGGACAAGAAACAGGGTAACTATGTGAGAATGCTGTTTGTTTATTACAGTTCAGCGTTTAACACAATAGTGCCCTGCAGACTGTTCACAAAGCTCAGGGATCTGGGACTCAATAGCCATCTGTGTGCATGGGTGTTAGACTTCCCCACTGGCAGAACTCAGGTGGTGAGGGTGGGTAGATGTGTCTCTAACAGCATCACCATCAACACAGGAGCACCACAGGGATGTGTCCACCCACGGCTCCAACACCATTGTGAATTTTGCTGACGACACAGTGGTGTTGGGCGCCATCTCCAACAACGATGAGACGACCTATATGGATGAAGTGAAGAATTTGGCATCATGGTGCCAGGACAACCACCTCCAGCTGAACGTCAGCAAGACCAAGGAGCTGGTGGTGGACTTCAGAAGGAGTCAGCACAGAGACTACAAGCCCATTATCATCAATGGAGCTCCAGTGGAGAGGGTGCAGTCCTTCAAGTATCTCGGTCTCCACATCTCCTCAGACCTGACATGGGCTGCCCACATTCAGGTCCAGACCAAAAAGGCTAGGCAGCGCCTGTATCACCTACGACAACTGAGGAAGTTCAGGGTCTCTCCAAAGATCCTCAGGATTTTCTATACAGGCGCTGTGGAGAGCATCCTCACACAGAACATGACATCGTGGTTTGGGAACAGCTGTGTGAAGGACCAAAAAGCTCTCCAGAGAGTGATCCGTACAGCAGAACGCTGCTGCAGGATTGCTCTCCCCCCGCTTCAGGACACCTACACCAGGGGATGCCGGACTAGAGCAGCGCAGATATTGAAGGACCCGTCCCATCCTGGCAACAAACTGTTCCAACTTCTGCAATCTGGTAGAAGGTTCCGCATCATCCGGGCAAGGACAGAGAGACTCAAGAGGAGCTTCTATCCCCAAGCCATCCGGGCCCTAACTATGCATGTGACAAATAAAAAACCTTGAACCTTGAACCTTGATCATCAAACAAGCACCCACCTAAAACAGACATTAAGAAATACGCTGACGCTGTTGCAGCATACATTGCAAAATGCACTGATAATGTCACTCACTGCAAAACTGTTACTGTCCATGCTAACCAGAAGCCATCACTCACAGGACAGGTTCATAGGCCCCCCAAGGCAGCCTTTAGGGCCGGTGACACTACAGGACTTGCAACAGCTATAGAAAACCTACCCTGTGGTATCAGGAAAACAAAATGACAGTACAGTAAGAAAATATCTGGTCCTTTCACAGTAACAACAGAGGTCTTTCTGCAGGGTCTTTCTGGTGTGGAATCCAATCCTCAGTGGACACTTGAGTGCCCATTGAGGTCATTACTGGCGTAACAAGGGAAGAGTCTGTTGATGATCTACAGATGACGACACAATTATTAGCCCCCCTATTAAAAATTAGGTCAAATTGATTACCCCAATCATGCTAAAAGTAGGTTGTGTATCCTTGTTGTAAGGTTTCATACATGTTTTCTGAGCAATCCCAGGCTATTTTTGTTGGACCTTAGTCTTCAGGTCACCCCGTGGGTTTCCAGTGGAATTTAAGTCAGAGTTTGAAGCAATAACCCAGACCCAGTTTTGCTTCAAAATCTTCACATATCCTTATTTCTTTCTTATGATGCAGATGACACAAACAAGTACAATCACTGGCTTTAACAATGTTCAGATTTTCCTCATACTCCTGGCATTAACAGGAAAACTCAGTAGATGTACTGCTTGGTTTCATTTGTAAGAAGGGTATTTAAAAGAAGTCTTCCTAAGGTTCAAACATTTTAACATTATTGTTAAAAGGCTGTTTTGTTTTCTAAAACTGTACTCTACAGGACAATATGTACCTGGATTATTTGTATGATGTAGTCATTATATACTGTGTGCATCACTTGTTGCCTGTCAGTGTAATGACACTCCACAATACAGCCATAGGCCCGGCCAGTGCAGTGCACAACTGATGCAAGTCTGGTTGCGTAGCAGTCCTTTCTTAAACAAGACAGTAAAGTATCTCTGCTCAACTACTGGTCTCTGTGTCTTTACAGGTAATCGAGTGTATTACTCAAGGCAGAGTACTGGAGCGCCCAAGACTCTGTCCTAAGGAAATCTACGATATTATGCTTGGCTGCTGGCAGAGGGAACCGCAACAACGTCTCAACATTAAGGACATCCAGAAGATGCTGTTTACTTTGATGAAAGCCACACCAGTCTATCTGGACATACTGGGATAATAATAGCCCCAAGGAGACACTAATGGAATATATTCAAAGCACTGAATTGCCCCCGAACAGAAGTGATCTGTCTGCATACTCTGTGGATTAGGGGCTGAAAATACCCTGTTTTCATCTGCCAGATATTTGAGGACTGCAACTAACACATTGTATATTATGTTTATTTAACTGGACCAAAATGATCTGAATTGCATCAGTACCTAATAATCTGGAACCTGCAAATTCTATACCCATTTTGTTTTTTCAAATGGAATTGTAACTAAAAAGACTTAAGTATAAAGTATATATTGCAACGATGTGGAGTGATTATGCTGATTGTTCTGATGTGGTATAGTTAAGGTGTCACATCATAATAATGTGGGTTTCACCCTGTTTTGATCATAGCAGCACTAGTTCTAATCAACTGTTAATAAACCCTGACCTGGACTGGTAGTTTACTGGTAGTAATCCTGCCCAGGATTACATTGATCTCAGTTGGTTTCACAAACCTTAAGTAACCTTCTAGTCTTCCTTTGGCTTATCTTTGCCAGGTCTTCATTTGTGAAATGTGAAAAGTCAGAAGGATTAATTTATTCTCTTTTTAATTATTTAAATTTTTATCTGTGCCCAAGCTGGTCAATTTCCCAAAATCTTTCTCATACCTTGGGTTGCAGTGGTAGCCATCTTTAATCTAAAGTAATGATGATGACTATAAAGTTTCAAAGTACTAGCATTTCTGTTTTCTGTTTTTAACTTTTGGCTACCCCAGAAACCAATGGCAGAGCCAAAATATTTTCAGGGGTGGCCAGGCTGAAAGGCTGAGGTTGAGCACAGAAAATTCACTTTCTTTTTAGAGCCCTTTCCCTATCCCCTTTTTCAGAGAAACAGTACTCACTAGATGTAATTCAGTTTTGTGGATCAGCACATGGATCCCTAAAACGTTTTGCTGTTGGTTGTTTATGTTACACTGTGGCCACAATTTGGCTCTGCCTCTGCCTGAAACCACCAACAGTCTTGTGACTTGTGACACAGTTGTTCTGACGCAGGTATTTGGGGAATAGACCACAGTTATTGAGCATTTACAAAGACCAGATAGTTGTATCTTAATGTCAAGGAAATGTGTAGTTTGTGTGACCATGTGCAGATTATATTTCTTGACTTTTCTTTCTGTTCATGTATAAATTAAGGAAGGAGGTGAAAAAATAGAACAATGCACATAAATCAAATATTTCATGTACAGCAGCTGCTACACATGACTGCTGTTCTTAAGTGCTAGTTCAGTGGCAGCTTGCAACACAGTTTTTATCTGAAACATCATTGTTACAACACTTTTAAGTCCTGAGCTCATGATAGCTCACTGAGCTGCTTAGCTTTACAAGACCCTGACCATACCTTCCAATCCTGAGCCTGGAAGCATGGCCTGAGTGACTGTCTGCCACTATAGAAATGGACCTAAGTGCCTCCTACTTCTTTCTGAACACTAGGAACCAGGAAAGTAGTCTTTCAAAATAATAGCACTTTTACATTTTGTTTACCTGCCTAATGGCCACTAGCTGTAAACTCTTTGTTTTTCTTATTACCTAGTTTCATAAGTATCTACTGTATTAAAAAATATTAAATTTAAAGCAAAAAAAATAAATAATTAAAAGCCAAACTACCCAACGTGAAATTGAAATTACATTACATATACACTAACCAGTCAATTTATTAGGTATACCTGTTAAACTGGTCATTAGCATAAATATTAAATCAGCCAATCACATGACAGCAACTCAGTATATTTAGACATGTAGGCATGGTCCAAATGAACTACTAAAGTTCAAAACCATCATCAGAATGGGTGAAAAATGGGTGATTAGAGTGACTTTGGACGTGGCATGGATGTCAGTGCCAGGTTGGCTGGTATTTCAGAAACTGATGCTACTGGGATTTACCGACAACCAGCCATAGAGTTACATCAACAAGGCTGAAACTGCCTTGAGCTGATAACAAGGCATTAGGAACTCGAATAATCACTTGTTACAACCAAGAAGCATCTCTAAACGTACAATATGTGGGTCCTAATAGAAGACTGGAAAAATGTTGCCATCAGTGCCTGATGAGTCTTGAATTCTGCCATGAGAGTTGGAGGGTAGGGTCAGAATTTGATGCTAACAACATGAACCCATGGATCAAACCTACCTTATGTCAGTTAATCAGGCTGGTGGTGGTGTGGGATATTTTCTTGGCAAGCTTTTGGGCCTTTAATAATACGCCTTCATTGTCACAAATTACCTGAGCATTGTTGTTGACCATAACTATGATCACAGTATACCCATCTTTTGGGGTGTGGTGAGACCACAATTTCACGTTGCGGATGTAGAACCAAAAAAACTGTATTAACTGTGTCAGCATGGATCAGAATCTCTGAGAAATGTTTGCGGTACCTTGTTGATTTTATGGCGCAAAGAATTATGGCAGTTTTGAAATTAGAAACTGGCCCAACTCACTATTAGCAAGGTGTGCTACTAGACCGTTTACAAATAACCTTTTGCCATTTTCCAAAGCTAAAAAAAATGAATGAACTGATATATGTGTGAACTGAAAGGATAATACTTGAGACACTAGGATGTATATACTGTAAATCTGTCTGTCTTAAGATATTTATTTTGTTTTCCTATGTTGGATTATTTTTTTGTTTCTCAATGTGTTATTATATGATTAATTTAAATCTAATAGATCTTTTGATTTGCTTTCCAGTTGTAATTTACTGTCACGAGTTGCATTTATCTCATTAGAGACTGGCTAAAAAAAATCTAGATTTAAGAAATGTCAATTTGTTTTGTGTCATTTTATACTATGCATCCATCGATTCATCCATATTCTTCCTCTTATCCAATTCAGGGTTGTGAGGTATTTCATATAATTGAAATAAATTAATAAAAAATAATAAGTCAGGAAAACCAATTAAAACTACAAAGTTACAAATGCTAAAAAGTCAATGTTTTATTGCCCTCTTCAAGAACTGTTCAAGGATCAAATGCATTCTTTAATTTAAAAGAAATAGTTTGTCATTCATCGACCACAGTCAGAAAATGACAACACTTTCATCAGTGTGTCTAATGATGTGTCGTGCACCTAGTCTCTACACTGTATTTGAGATTTTAACTGTTTTGTCCATACTGGCCTAAAGAATTTAAAATCTAGTCTCACAAGGAATTCAGTGCATAAAGTTGTTAACTTCATATGCTCTTGGGTCAATGAGTGAGTACTGGGTTTAGCATTGCCTTACTGACTCTATACCTCAGTTTTCAACGAGCATCATGAGATGCAGGAATCGGTATTTTTCTTTATTTTACTTGAATCAACAAAGGGCAGCAGCATGCTGTCCATTAGCTTGATACATGAAACCCCTCCTAAGCCATTAGAAGAGTCATCTGAAGAGCAAAATGAAAAGCCTTTGATTAATTATTTATTGATATTTGAATGTATCATCAGTCTACAGTGAAAGACAGACTTCATTTATTCTGTCCCTTATTGTTAAATGAGACAGATTTACAATACTGTGAGTCACTGTCATCCTATTCTGTGCGTGATGTTTGAGTGTCACGTAGTTGGTGTTGGTTTTTATAAGATTTTGTTTCCCAAAAGTGTATTTATTCTAAAACAGTTCATCTAAAATAACTGAACATATACCTGGGATTTGCATTGATATATAGGTATATTGTATAAACATTAAACAGGTGCATCACCTGCATTGCCTGGGTAGTATGAAGAAATCTGATTCTGTAGCTTTTCTAAATTTAGATTAGAGCTGTGTAATTAAAGATATGTGCATTTCTAAACTGAAATCCTAATGCTAGGATAAAACATGATCAAAGTTATCTTACAGTAGACTTGCTTACCAAGTATCATCCATAATGTGAACTCTTGTTTCTAAGCCATTCATTTCATTTGAGCAAATTGATTATATTTGCATTAGTGTCAGTGCTTTAAATTGTGTCTTTCTCTCACTATGAGTGTTTGCTTACTCCAAGTCCTCCAGGAAGTCAGGTATTACTTAGTGAATTACAGAATTAAATTTTGTTTCATTTGTTTTCTACACACAAAAGAAAATCCAGATTTTAGAGAAATTTCAACACATTTCTAGAAAAAGTCGGTTGCACAGAACTCTAAACATAAAATCAAAGAAGTTAACTCTTTCAACATGAAACACAGCACCCTCAAAACTGATTCTTTCCAACTAAACAACACAAACAGCTATTATATGATTAAGAGAGAATAAAAAACACTGATCGGATCAATTCAAAACCTACCATCAGAGGTGTTTGACTATGTCTTGGCTTGGCCATGGTACATACTTTTTCTTGTTTTGGAAAAGTATACATGTTTATTTTTATTTTGTCCTTAGATACCATTTACAGTTATCTAGTGCATTATAACCTTTGTAATGGAAATGAATGAGAAACAAAACAAAGCAAATCAGTGCACATATTTTTAGAAAAAACGTAACAAACAAAACATTTATTTGTTACCACAATACAAAGTTTTCAGATGAACTGACAAAAATAAAAGAATGCCTTCTTCCTCCTAGGCTTTTTTCTTACCTTTCCTCTTCCTTTGTGTTTTGGTTGCTTCATCTTCTCCCTATCACTTGAAGCTGATGCTATCCTCTGATACAGGATCGTTCTTTCGGTTGAGTGGTTCAAAGGAGGAGCACGAGCGAGATGACTTAATAGTCAGAGTGTACTTTGAGGCCATGTTTCTAGAACAAAATGTGTTTGTGTTCAGAGATTTGCAAAACTGTGATTTAGATTTGAGTGAGAGCAGTGGAACTCTTCCTAGAAGCTTGGAGTTATAATGATGATACAAAAACTTTATATTTTTACAATTTTGTACATAGTTCCACTTTTTGTTTGTAAGAAATGGGCAAAAGATCATTCATCTCAATTTTATTTTTATGCTCAAGTCAAAATTAGGGACCCAACAAGCCATGTTAGAAGAAACTGAAGAACAGAACCATATCAATTCAGTTCAGTTCAATTTTATTTATATAGCTCCAAATCAGAACAACACTCATCTCAGGGTGCTTCATACTGTAAGGTAAAGACCCTACAATAATATGGAGAAAACCTTTACAATCAAACAACATCCTTGGTAACACTGGGAAGAAAAAACTATCTTTTAACAGGAAGAAACCTCCAGCAGAACCAGGCTCAGGGAGGGGCAGCTATGAGTGGTTAACCTTATCCTGTTTTCTCAAGAGACCTTCCTAAATGCTGCAAGCATGCTATTTTGATACATGCAAGCTTCCTGGAGGACACAATTGGCTAGCAAAATACATCAAATTGTATTACAAAACAGAAATCACCAGATAAAAGTTTCCTGTATGATCAAGCCTTAAGCTTTCACAGACTGACAATCTTGGTTGTTTCTAATGATATTTGGGTTAAATGAAATCTTTCTCTCTGTTTGCTCTTTGTATTCTTCTTTTTCGTCTATTGTGTTCTCATTTATTCTCTTCCCCTTTCCCACTGTCACTTTACCATACAAAGTTTCTAAGCTGAATATGTAAGAAACATCATTACTCTATTAAGAATCCATGTCTTTTCTAATTGTTGTATATCCATCTCAACACATATGTATGTGAATCATTTGACTTATAAAACTTGTATAACATCTTTCTGAAAAGCTTAGACGTGGTGATTTTTTAAGGTGGCTCTGTGTATCATTCTGACTCTCAATTCTCATTAAAACTGACTTCAATGACCTTTGCGTTCACTTATTTTTTAACCAGAAAAAAGGGGAAATAAGTGACTCATACTCATTATGTAACATCAATTCCCTACTTCAAAATTATATTATTCCCCAGACATTTATATACATATCTGGAAACTGTGGCTCAGTTTCTCAAAGCTCTGAACACAAACTGTGTTAATCTCTTTGTTTTAATTGTTAATTGGTTCATCAAAACTCTCCATCTTGCGAAATGAAATGCAGCATTCAAAACCGTAGCAAAACAATTGATGCAATACAGTCAAAACCCACACAAGCATGTGCAATGCGTCTTCTTCTTGTTGGTGGCGATCGTGGCTCAAGAGTTGGGAGTTCGCCTTGTAATCGGAAGGTTGCCGGTTCGAGCCCCGGCTTGGACAGTCTCGGTCGTTGTGTCCTTGGGCAAGACACTTCACCCGTTGCCTACTGGTGGTGGTCAGAGGGCCCGGTGGCGCCAGTGTCCGGCAGCCTCGCCTCTGTCAGTGCGCCCCAGGGTGGCTGTGGCTACAATGTAGCTTGCCATCACCAGTGTGTGAAGTTGTGTGGGGTGGATGACTGGATTGTAAAGCGCTTTGGGGTCCTTAGGGACTAGTAAAGCGCATATAAAATACAGGCCATTTACCATTTTTACTGATATTCAAGAAATTTAGATTAATTTGATACATGTTATTGGAAATAAGTAAAGTTTCTGTCTTGAATAATAAAGCATTTTAATCTTAATAAAAAATAAGTCAAAATGTACAAATGATAAATCTATACATGAGAAAATTGTAGCTTGAGTAGTAAAAATGACTGTTCTAATGCCTGATTTGTGATGTGTGTGTGTGTGTGTGTGTGTGTGTGTGTGTGTGTGTGTGTGTGTGTGTGCATATGTGAGCTTCAACCTTAAGAGTTTTGTGTGTATCTGGAGGAATCCAGGAAGATAAGAAGTGTGTCAAACTGAGAGCTGGTTCCACATAAGAGAGGTCTGAAAGCTGAAGGCTCTGCCTCCCATTCTACTTTTAAATAACCTAAAAATCACAAGTAAGCCTGCAGTCTGAGAGTGAAGTAATCTATTGGGGTGATACAGTACTATGAGGTCTGATTAGTCTGTGCTTTGGGGCGTAGCCAGGCAAGCTTAAAGAATTATAAATAAATACATGTACATATGAACATACCCTGTACATATGGAAAACTGTCCCTCTGTCCTCATTGGTCAACTCACCATTTTTTATGTCTCTCTCTCTCTCTCTCTCTCTCCTTCTTTCTCTCTCCTTCTTTCTCTCTCCTTTTCTCTCTTTACTCTGTTGTGTGTGTATTCTGGTTTTGGTGCAGAAGTGGGACTTTCGGGGTTCCTGGCCTAATCACTCACCTGCTTCTGATTACCTCTTTGTACCTTCTTCCTAGCTGTCCAGATGCTCTACGGGCTAAGGAAGGCCAATTCTTCTGCATCTTAACCATGGAGACAAAGGACCTCAGGCCTCAGCTAGAGACTTTTCACAGGCGTAACTTAAAAGTCCTCCAAGCATTATTGCCTTCCAACTGGAGAATTCCCTGCTACAGAATGGTCAGCTATGTTTGGATTGAAAGACATTCGCCAAATAGTTTAAAAACTGTGGACAGCCATATTAGAGTCTCTGATTTTTATTGGAGATTATGTATCGGAATTTCAGGAGCGGGACCACGCCTCCAAACACGCTCCTTCCAGTTGTCATCTATATAGGTTCCCCCAGTTCTGCAAGCTGTTCATTCTCGTTTACGTGCCCCACCCTCCCTTCCTCCCTCCTTGTTCTCAGTTCTTTAACTTCTTCTTTTCTGTTTAGTGCACGGGGATCTGCCAGGCCCGGGAGCCATTGCCAGTCCCCATCGATGCCTTCCCCAAACAGCAGCTCAATTCATGTCGAAGCATTTACTTTTACCTACTAAAACGCTGTCAAACCTAAAATAAGGACGTGGGCCCAGCTAGTGAATTAGCACACTAAACTTTGACTTGGAACGCCATGTGAATCCAATTTGTGTCCATACCTTGACAGAATGATCCGATGGACCCAGCCGGCTTGGGTCAAGTGAGTTGCGCCCTTGCAAACCAACAAGAACAGCTGGGCTGGCACGAAGAAATGCTGCAGCACATCTCGGGAGAAATGAACACAATCACCCTTCACTTGGGTGAAGTGAAAGGTATGATGCAAACACATGTAACTGAATTTCTGGTTAACCTACCTGTTCGTCACAGCCCCGCACCACCTGTTGTTCTGCAGCCATCGCCGCCACCCAATTTTCTGAAAAGGCCTTTACCTACGCCTGAGTTAGTTAGAGAAAGATGGTGAGTTAGAGAAACATGGGGGTTTTCCATACCAACAGTTGTGCCCACCAATAACGATGGGGTTATTGGCGGGCAAAGTCTCTAGTGTTTCATGTTTGCTGGAAACATGCCAAGACTCATGCTTCTAGCTAAAATCTCAGTCAGCGGTCAAACGTACTTCCTCAAAGCTTTAATTGATTCCGGAGTCAAATAGTATTGATCACTCTCTTGCTGCTCATTCATATTTATCTCCCGTTCTGCTTCCTGAACCTTTCTCCCTGTCTGCTGGACACAACACATAGAACTCAGGCCATAACTCAGACTAATTTCCTTGACATCATTACTGGAGTAAGTCACTGCCAAACTGCCAAGCACTGGGTCCATCTATGGGTCTTTTGGTTGGGACTTGTTCTTTGTAGAAAAGAAAGATAAATCGCTCCATCCTTGACTTTCATGGCCTAAATAAAGTCATGGTAAAATATCCACTTTCCCTACTCTAATTCCTCCAAGGTGCTACTATGTTCACAAAAATTGGACCTCCATAATACCTACCATTTCGTTAGGATAAAGGAAGGAGATGAAAGAAAAACGGCATTTAACACACATTTATGTAACTTTGAATATCTGGTTATGCTCTTCAGTCTAACAAGCACTCCAGCAGTCAAAAGTTTGAACACACCTTCAAATTTAATGGTTTTTCTTTATTTACATTGTAGATTCTCACTGAAGGCATCAAAACTATGAATTAACACACGTGGAATTATGTAGTAAACCAAAAGTGCAAAATAACTCAAAACATGTTTTATATTTTAGATTCTTCAAATTAGCCCTCCTTTGCTTTGATTGCTGCTTTGCACACTCTTGGCATTCTCTCGATGAGCTTCATGAGGTTGTCACCTGAAAAGGAGGTTTTCCAAAAGTCTTGAAGGAGTTTCCAGAGATGTTGAGCACTTGTTGGCCCTTTTGCCTTCATCTCATCCCAAACCATTTCAATTGTGTTTAGGTCAGGTGACTGTGGCCATCTGGCGCAGCACTCCATCACTCTCCTTCCAGGTCAAATAGCCCTTACGCAGCTTTGAGGTGTGCTTGGGGTCATTGTCCTGTTGAAAAATAAATGATGGTCCAACTAAAAGCAAACCGGATAGGATGGCATGTTGCTGCAGGATGCTGTGGTAACCATGTTGGTTCAGCGTGCCTTCAATTTTCAATAAATCCCCAACAGTGTCACCAGCAAAGCATTTCAGGTGACTACATCATGAAGCACATTGAGAGAAGGCCAAGGGTTTAAAGCGCTGTCAATAAAGCAAAGGGTAGCTACTTTGAGGAATCTAAAATATAAGGCAATGCATGTGTTATTGAGTTATTTATCAATTTTTTCTTTGCTACAAGATTCCATATATCTTGCTTCATATATCTGATGTCTTCAGTATGTGTCTACAGCTGGGGTGGGCAACTCCAGGCCTCGAGGGCCGGTGTCCTGCAGGTTTTTGCTATTACCCTGGGTCAACACACCTGAATTTAACCATTTGAA